CGTGTGTTTTGGATGTCCACGCTGTCATCTCAAACATCCTGGACGCACACGATCCAATTTTAAACTTTTCGGTGAGGCGATCCCTTGCTGAAAAGCTCTCTCCAGCCATCGATCTACTTAACAAAGTTGAAGGCCTCCCAAGTTTTGTGTCCATTCCGAAACAAGGGGGAGATAAGAAGACAAGTACAAAACCACCTCCTTCCTCCAAAGCTACTCATTCTACTGAACCATCTTCAACTCATCAAATTTTAAGTTCAGGTATGAAGAACAAAGGTAAAGATATAGCTGAGGACGAAGATGAAGAAGGCGACAAGGAGACCATTGCCGACATTTTGAAACGAAAGAACAGTCGCAAGGTTGGTGATGATGCCAGTCGTGAGGCGCGTGAGGCTGCCGAAGCCGAACGCAAGCAAAAAGAAGCCCACGATCTCCTTGAGAGCCGAAAGACTCTCTTCCCTGCCTGGACCAGGGAACGCTTAATCAAAGAGGCCATCGAAACACCCAGCATCCTATGGCTCGAGCCGGTCATATCGTTCGACTGCAGCAATACTGTCGATTCGCAGTTCGATATGCCGCTGACTCGAAAGGCTTTTATCTTTCACGTCTTCTCTAATATTTTTGATGTCCCTCACCCGAATGCTGAGCTTGACAGGGAGCTCATTGACTTTTATCTGACGGCTGCTCGTCCTCAATTCCTTACATGGAGCGCTCAGAAGATTGTCAATGTTCGGGTGCTAAAACCTTACACTGAGGGACGTTTTATAAACGTTCGGTTCAAACTGATTCGGGGATCTGCAAAATCTGTTCATCTCATCTCTCTGGCAGATCTACCGAATCTAAATCCTCATGATTGGATCGTCCTGTATAATATCCTTTTGACCAATGAAGCTGAATATGGTCCCATTCTAGACCATATCAAAAGGATGTTAATCTGCTATATCATGGAGGTTGCCCTTATGGATCAGGAGGTCGCCACAGTCTTCAAGAAGAAACCCAAAATTGCTCCTGTGGGATCGGCCAGTGATCTCAATCAAATGCAGCTGGGCTAGATTGATCCGAGACGTAACACAGTTATGTTCACTAGAGCTGAAGGACAGAAATGTCTCTTCGCTTTAGCTGATAAGCATCTTTACACCACAACCTGCTTGGAGCATGTGCTATTTATTGTTAAACGGTGTAAAGAGAATTCGGCCGATGATGTTAAGTATTTTGAAGATATGATCAACTGGTACATCCGGTTTAGACAGACAATTCTTTCCATCACCAAGTGTCTGTTTAGTACCGTGAAGAAGGTACCAGTTTCGGCTGCTGGCCCAAGTAATAAATAAAGATCTCGCTCCAAATTGACGCAAAGGGGGAGATTGTTGGGCTTAGAAGATTGCGTCTTTTGGGCTCGTCTTTTTATAATGTTTTGTATTACGGTTTGGGCCTGTCCAACCGTGAGTCTTTCATGCTTTGTATATAAGCTTATGCTTGCATGCATATTAGGTCAAGGTTTTAGAGATATGAGAATACGATATTTTCCAGACGACTAAAGGTTTCTTTGATCATACTTGTAACCTTCCAATCCTCTACAGTTGATGTTCTTAATCGAGCTCTTCTGAGGATTTTGTTTTAATCATTCGACACGTTTGATTCAATCTTGTTCTATTATTTTACTGTGTTTATACCGTCATTGTTTATATACTTGTTCAAGATCTAATCGATCTTCACAGATTAAAAGAAACATTAATCTCATCAGAAACTTATATTCGTTTAAACCCTCTCAACTGTCCCTTTCATTTATTCTGCTACCATTTGCATTCGTATACTTTTTTCAAACCGTGATTGACACGAATCCGTTTCTTAAACTCTTCCTCCTTGAAATCGGCCAACATAATCAATCCTATGGCTGTCTACATGAAGATAGATCTCCATTTTGCCGGAATTTTTTTGAGGTACCCCGCTATTTGTTACTTAGATGGTGCAGAACAAATGTTCGATGATGTCGATTTTGATGGAATGGATAAGAACAAGTTTGTGGGGTTCATTCAAAGATTCGCTAATAAGGTATGCATCAATGTTTACTTTTGCATGCCCGATGTGGTGTTCCCTGATGGATTGAGGTTAATAGCTACTGATATGGACTATATGGACTTCATCGAAGTAGGATATGCTTCTGGTAGTGTTATTAATGTATACATGGACCATGTTGGTGTTAATGTACATCAATGGATCCTTGAGGAGCAAGGCGAAATATGCAGTTCATTAGATGAATTGTCTGATAGAATTGAAGTTGGTGAAGAAGTTCAAGGTGGTAAATATATGGATGATGGAATTGAAATTGAGGATCTGTTGGGTCATAGGCAAGGTGTTACGGAGGATTTGCAAGGAACTAGGGAAGAGTTGCAAGATAGGGAAGGTGATGACATTAACATTGAAGTTGAGAATGATCAAGGTGATATGGAGGATCTGCAAGGTAGTACGGAGGACTGGCAAGGTAAGGAAGATGATGGCATTGAATTGGAAGTTGACAATGAACCTGATGAATGTATTCCTATGAATAGGACAAAAGATGATGACTTTTTGAGCAAACTGTGCCCAAATGACCAAGTTACCCCTGACATTCCTCCTCATGAAGAGCTATATGAGCATGTAGTCGATGATGAAGTAATATCTAATGAGCAAGCTATTTATAATGACAATGTTCATTGGAAAAAACAGAAGCCTGTATTAGGTATGAGATTTGTGAATCCTAAACAACTGAAACACATGTTGTGTAACTATGCTGTTGCAAATGGTTATCAGTTATGCTACAAGAAAAATGATAGCATGAGACTTTTAGTGAAATGTTGTTCTGGTGCTTGCAAGTTTAGACTGTGGGCATCTTGGATGAGTGAGGAAAAATCTTTCCAAATTAAGAGTATCATAAATGAGCATAACTGTGCAAGAAACTTCAAATTAGGTTCAATTGTCAACTATGCTTGGATAGGTACCCATTACACCACCTAATTCTTACAGAAACAAAAAGTTAGTGTTAGGCTCCTTAGGGATGAGGTTAAAAAGAAATTTGGGATAGATGTAAGTATAGGACAGTGTAGAAGAGTTAAGAAGTATGCAATTGAGTTGATTGAGGGAACATTAGTGGATCACTATGCAAAGCTATGGTCATATGGTGAGGAGATAAGAAGATCAAATCCTGGATCAACAGTCAAAATAGATGTCAATGCTATGCCAGATGGTAAGACTTATTTTAGCAAGTTTTACATTTATTTTTATGCCCTCAAGCAAGGGTGGAGAGGGAGCTGCAGAAGAATTATAAATTTGGATGGGTGTTTCTTAAAGGGTTTATGTACAGGAGAGCTAATTGTTGCTGTAGGAAGGGATGCTAATAATCACATATTCCCAATTGCATGGGCAGTTGTATGTGTAGAAAACAAAGAAAATTGGAAATGGTTCTTGGAAAATCTAAAAGATGACCTTCATCTAGAGGATGGTTTTGGTTTATCATTGATGTCAGATCAACACAAGGTATGTCATATACTTACAACTTTTATATATTTCACAATTAAGTTACATGATGTTTAAAATATGACTATTATTATGTAGGGGTTGTTAGAGGCTGTTAAGGAAGTGTTTACTATTGCGGAACATAGGCAATGTGCAAGGCATATTGTAGCCAACTTTAGGAAAAGATTTAGTGGTGTACACTATGAGAACATGTTTGACAATGTTTTTATGTTGTACTTGTTTGCTTGGTTTGACATTTACTTGTTTGTGTGAAGTTAGTATGTTTACATTGACAATGGTTTGTAATATTATCATGCTTTGCTTCTTTAAGACTTTCGGATTCCTATTACTTTTCACCTAGCATGCTGTCAATTGCCATTATTTTCATGTGGTATTTGTGTGCTTAATGGACAAAAATGTGGTTGTGTTTGGTTGGATTTAAGTGTTATGTTTGGTATTGGGATGTAGTAGGTTATTAAGTTTGGAATTGGACAAGTTGTTATGTTTTAAATTTGTTGTGTTTGGTTGGATTTAAGTGTTAACTTTGTTTAATTTGATTGTTCATATTTTGTACATACAAAACACATCAAACCCCAAATATAACCAGTTCAATTAAATAAAGTACATTACAGATTACGTAACAACTTAAAGGAAATAAAGTACATTACAAGTTTCAAAAGACATCAAAGTGCATTACAAGATGCATAACAAGACAATTGTTCCAACTGACCTTCATTACCACTTGTACATGATTAAACAGAAAAAAAAATACCCAACTAGATACTAGGTAAACCTTCAACTTAAAGATCTCAGCCTGAAGCTTTTTGTTGGACTTATATAACCCATTTATGATCAAACATTCATTGTTGCACTCCATTTCATCAACCCAAGCTATAAAACCTGAACGAGCATCCTGATTCCAAGTATTTGCTTCAATTAACACATCTTAAAAAAGTAGGGTTAACATCAAAATGTGAATAACTGGTAAATTACCTTTTTCGGGCATGCATAAAAGGGCCTTCCTGGGTTATTGGTGGTACGAAATGTTCTTATTATAGCCTCAGCTCTAGATCCACATTCAATGTTCCTCATTATGTACCTTCACAGTGAAGAGTATTTGAAGAAGAAAACAATGTGCTAGAATGAATGCAAGAAGGTATATATGAAGGAGCAGTGCATAAAAAAGACTATATTACCCCCACTATGTAAAAGACTATATTACCCCCACTATTGCACTTTCAACGGATCCGATTATCAAACTTAAGAACTAATTTAGATCAAAAACAATCAGCAAAGAACATCAGACATCTTTACAAAACGACTATCATTTTGATATATCTTTCATTAATCATTCGATTTCACTTACAAAATGCCTGTCATTAAGACAGGACTTTTACATAGGGATATTTCGCCAAAATAAAAAGAAATAAAAGATAAGAAATTAAGACACACGAACACTACATACTAATAACCTTCTTAACCATTAACCACCTTAGCTGCAGATCAACCCATCACCAAAGCTTAACAAGGAAATGGAGCACAACAACCAGCAACAAGAGCATCCGCAACATCATGCCACCCAGAGCAACACCAACGACTTTAAACTTCTGATCATGATCATCCAGCTTGTGCTGGAGACTGATGTGGTCGATCCTGTGAACGACATAATCTTGTCCTAGCTGCTCCTTCAACCTTTTCATTTCAGTTTGGTTTTCTGCAATCTTCGGACCACAATCACAGAAGATTGAGTGGAGCACATTGTAGTTGATGTCTTCACCAGAATTTATAGAGTTGGGTGAAGGTGGTGGAGCCGACACTGTTGCTTTTTAAGGGTTCTTCCACAAGATTGTTTGCTCGAAAATGGTAAACAAGTTTCAGATTTGTTTTACTTCAAGCCCCACATGCGTATGTCCCCTTATAATTCGAGACTTGTGCCTGGGACTCAATCGAATCGACAGTGAAAGGTTGTTGGGGTGTTGGTAGACATTAAAGGCGATAATTACTAATCTGCATGTGCTAACTTATGTGTCATCGAGTCAACTCGGTATTGACTCAATGGGTTACCTCATACGTATACATGGCAAGTGATGAGGCAGATGACGAGGCAGGTTTACCTGCTAAAATGGGTAAGGTGACTTTCTCAATCGGTCATCAACAAGTTTAACCCCTTAAAACGCAAAAAATAGTCATGAGGGATCATTTAAACCATTATACGTAACTTTGTTGGGCTAGAGTGACAATAACCCTTTATTATAATAAAACATAGTGATATTACATATTAATAAAACGTTCCCAAATATGCTCCATTAAATCATGTCGAAGAGCATGATGTCTGACATTATCACGTAGTTCAGAGTTTCTTTGAATTTGATATTGAACTTCTTCGATAGGCCCTCGATTCACACGTATAGGAGGATCAACATCATCTGACCAATTACTAATTGCATTTCCTTCATTTTCTACGATCATATTATGTAATATAATGCATGTATACATTATATCCTTTATGTTTTTAAGTTGCCACGATCTTGCTGGACCTCGTACAATTACCCAACGAGATTGAAGAACACCAAATGCTCTCTCCACATCCTTTCTTGCAGCCTCTTGCATTTCTTTAAACTTGATCCTTTTTGGGTCGGCCGGATGTGGAAAACTTTTAACCATTGTTGCCAATTCAGTATATATACCATCTGCAAGATAATATCCTTTTGTGTATGTTCTTCCATTAACAGTAAAATTGCATTCAGGAGCATAACCTTGTAATACATCATTGAATAATGGTGACTGGTTAAGTACATTAATGTCATTGTTAGACCTGGTAACCCCGAAATATGCATGCCATATCCAAAGGTCTTGTGATGTAGCTGTTTCCAACATAATTGTTGGACAACCTTGATCACCTCGAGTATATTGACCTTGCCATGAAACCGGGAAATTTTTCCAAGACCAATGCATGCAATAAATACTTCCAAGCATACCAGGAAACCCGTGCTTTTCTGAATGTTTTTGTAGTAAATTTTGGATATCATTAGCATTTAGTTTTCTCAAATAATGGCTTGAATAAACCTCAATCACGCATCGACAAAAGTTTTGTAGACATTCGATTGAAGTTGATTCACCAATTCGTATGTATTCATCAAAGAGGTCACCAGTTGTGCCATATGCCAACTGGCGTATGGAAGCAGTGCATTTTTGTAAAGGGGAAAGACCATTGTTTCCTAAAGCATCTTTTCTTTGTTGAAAATAAATAGAATGGTTAGAGATACAGTTAACTATTTGAACAAATAGTTCTCGCCTCATTCGAAATCTTCGTCTAAACGTTTGAGGTGGGAAAACAGGATGCTCATCGAAATAGTCTTTCCAAAGACGTTTATGCCCTTCTTCACGATTTCTATTTATATATCTTCGACTTTGCCCAGGACGTCTTGAACTTTCAGCATCTGACTGTTCTGCTTCCAAGCATTTTAGCTCCTTATATAGTTGAAATGTAGAATTACTTGTGAGATGGTTGATTATGAATTCAGAAGCAGAATCGTCTGAGGAGTATAAGAAAGATATAAGAAATAGTTTGAATTGGTAGGTATGAAATAATAAAAACGTTGTATTCTTTTATAGCAAGAATATAGAGTCAAATGAAATTCAAATTAAAGTAAAATGAAATCCAAATTATATTCGAATGAAATTGAAATTAATGTAAAATGAAATTGAAATTAAAGTGAAATGAAATCCAAATTAAAGTTAAATGAAATTGAAATTAGAGTCAAATGAAATTGAAATTAAAGTGAAATGAAATCCAAATTAAAGTTAAATGAAATTGAAATTGGAGTCAAATGAAATTGAAATTAAAGTGGAATGAAATCCAAATTAAAGTTAAATAAAATTGAAATTGGAGTCAAATGAAATTGAAATTAAAGTGGAATGAAATCCAAATTAAAGTTAAATAAAATTGAAATTGGAGTCAAATGAAATTGAAATTAAAGTGGAATGAAATCCAAATTAAAGGCAAATGCATACAAGATGTTCAACTCTATAAATAAAGACGAACATATTATATTCTCATTCACACCTACCAACCATCTGATACACCAATCATGAATCCGAATTACTATACACACTTGTTATCTTCTTATGATCCCGAAAATCCAAACAATCATCCACAACATCCATACCCAAATCCAAACAATCATCTACAGTATCCATATCCAAGTCCAAACAATTATCCACAATATCCATACCCAAATCCAAATAATCATTCACAACATTCATACCAAAATGCATACCCAGATTCTACCAGCCCGGATCCTCCCCATATTCCAGAAAATGAGCCAACATCAATAGAAACTCCTACCAACAAACGACAAAAAAAAAAAATAACCTACTGGAGCAAAGAAGAAGAAATGTTGTTGGCAAAAGCTTGGCTACAAATTTCAGAAGATAGCATTACTGGAAGTCAACAACGTGATAAAGAGTTCTGGAGACGAATTACTGCATACTATTAAAAAAGCAACACGTCGAACGTTGCAAGAACTCAAGCCAACCTCAAAACGCATTGGCATTACATGAACCCATTTGCAGTTGCATTTAATCAAATGTATACAGTGTTGAAAAGTCAACACCTCAGTGGATGGTCTGAGGATGATCTCAAACGTGCAACTTTTGAGCATTATCATGCTAGATATGGTGCCGATTTTAGGCACAAACATATTTGGAATATCGTTAAAAATGAACAGAAATGGAAAGGTTCAAGCACTGCATCTGGGGCATCTATGTCTTCATCAAATACAAAATCTTTCATTAACCTGGATAATGATGAAGTTACAACTCGTCCAATTGGTAGGAATGCAGCAAAAAAAGCAGAAAAAGGGAAAGCTACCAATTCCACTTCGTCACCTGGTAATAGGCTTGATGAAATACTTGAAAAACATATAGAAGAAAATAAAAAGACTTTTGAACACTATCAAAACTCTTTGGATATGAAGAATGCATTGAAAGAAAGAAAGATGAAGATTAAAGAAGAAAAGGTAAAGAATGATGAAATTTCAATCATTTTCATGGAGCCCAGTACCATGTGGGAAGATGGACGTGAAATTTGGAGAAATCGTTGTGACGAGATTAAGATAAAATACAATGTGAAGTAAAATTTGTATTTTAGATATTATATTTTTTATTTAGTATATTATTTGTAACTTTTAATTTTTAAATTGTAATCTTTAATTAATATTTAGTAATTGTAACTTTGAATTTCTAATTAATGTAATATTCTAGTTTTATTTATTAATATTATTTATAAAAAAATTAAAGTGATAATGTGGAAATCCATTGAACTCTTAAGAGTTTAATGAAATATAGAGTTTAATAAGTTAAATGATATAGTTAATGGAATGCTGATGTGACAATCCATTGAATTCTTAAAATTTCAATGCATTGGAGATGACTTAATATTGTTGTATACCATTCAATATCCTATTTTTCTATTTTAATAACATATAGTAATTCGTTTGTAAGGAATTTACAAATACAACAATTTAAAATTGATATTACTTCTTAGACGCCATATTCAATACAATATTTTGAACCTTTTCATAGTTACATAATTCACACATCTACAAACGAGTTTATATCAAACCATCAAAACTCATAACCAAATCCATTAAAATAACCAAAAAAAAGTCTAAAATTCCAAAAGCTTGACCCATATATCCAATATGGTTTTCATATAAGTAAAAATTAAAAAGTTTGTTATTTATATATCAATCAACGAAAGTTCTTCGTCATCATTATAGCTCGTAAGTCATTCCTACCTTCAGCATCCGTTTATGTGGAATTTCAAAGACACTGTGACTTTGCCTCAAGTTCTTTTTCATGAAATTGTAAGCGTAATCAATCAAGAACTTCTTCCCAATCGAAGACCCTGCCCTTGAAACAATCTCATGCTCACCCACCAGATGCACGACTCCCGATCGCCAAGCTTGGTCTAGCTTCGCCACATCCTCGTCAGATACACGACCTTGCTGTCGTTCTTCAAGAACTCCATAATCAGATTCAACAAACTCCTTCAACCGTTCAATCAAGATCTTCTCAAACGACTCCTTTTCATTGCGCACATCCGTGTACCCGTACCTCACCACACACCTAAACACGTACAGATCATTTGGCTTCACTCTCCTGAACAAGAACCGCTCTTCTGGTGCCACCCTGCTAACCGGCAATGACTTGATGGAAACAAAAACAAGAACCGAATGCAAAGCAGGCACGTTTTCGATATAATGTTTAAAGATTGGTGGAATGCCATGGGCTAGCTCGGAGTAGAAGATAGCAAGTCCACCCATATGACTGATGCTGCTATCTGTAACAATGTCTTTTATGACTTCTCGTGACACCTTGTTATCGAGCTCAAAGTTGTATTTTGCCCGGTAAACGTAGTTCCAAGTGCACATAATGAACATGAGCACGACAGCAAATGAAAATGGCAAGTATCCGCCATCCCCGAATTTATAGAGAACCGAGCTCAAATAGACGTATTCTGTGGAGCTAATCACAAGCACAAACAAGAGCACTAGAAGTGCGTTCGTTTTCCATATGACAAGCATGATTACTACCATGAACGACGAAGTTAAGGTCTCGGCAAATATAACCGCAATACCTTTTTAAAATAAGAAACAGAAGTAGTATATAAGTATGGTTAGTAATTAATGATATATATATATATATATATATATATATATATATATATATATATATATATATATATATATATATATATATATATATATATATATATATATATATATATATATATATATATATATATATATACACACATTACGTACCATAAGCATGACCGATGTTTTCCGTAGTTTTGAATGTAACAGTAACAAGAACACAACCGATCATAAGAAGATAGTTCATTTCGGGTATGAAAACTTGTCCTTCGTACTTGTCTGATGTATGAATGACTGAAACACGAGGAAAGCATCCAAGCGATAGCGACTGTTTGATAATGGAGAAAGTTCCTGATATCATAGCCTGGCTTGCGATAATCGCCGCCATAACAGCAACCACAAACACCGGCCAGTACAAGGCATCTGGAGCTGACTTATAGAACGTATCCGCCACATCATTTTGGTGCTTTCTAAGCCACGACGCCTGACCACTATATGCTGAGATTAAAGCCGGATAAACCACACAACCCATGCTTATTTGTATGGATTTCACTGTAAAGTGTCCAAGATCAGCAAACATGGCCTCAGTTCCTGTTACATTCGAGCCAGAGGAGTCATGATTTACGTAACATAAAATCGATCGATGTAAAGTACTTTGATATGAAAAAAATAAAAAGTTACCTGTAATGGCGAGCACAACGCCACCAAGTGAAATCCAGGCGTCCCTGTTGTTACGTTTGAAGTAATCGACGATGTATTTAGGGTTTAAGGCTTTGGCGACAGAAGGGTCGAACTTAAAGAAATTGA